GGCGCGGGCCCGGCTGGCCTTGCTGCCGCCGGCAGACTGGAGCAGAAAGGCATCAAGTCTGTCATGTTCGACCGTCAAGCAGAAGTGGGCGGTAAATGCCAGGCTTACTACGACGAGCAGTATGTGTTCCACAGCATCTCCCAGGCCCACTAGCCGCGACTGACCACCCATTCCAGAGGCATCTTCCACCCACTCGGCGCCGCCTTCTTCTCCAACGCCACGTACCCAGACACAATCGCCATTCTCAACCAGACCGATGTCTCGATTGAGGACTTTGCACTCACTGGCACCCGCGATATGTACCGCTTCAATTTCACGAATGGCGCCATCGACTCGAACCCTTCCTTGACCCCTCAGTTCACTGCGTCTGTAATTTCAGAGATTCCGAGATACGTCACGCTGTGGAAGGAACGCTTTGCACCCTACAGTGTCGTAAATTACAAGGTGCGTCTTCCCATGTGTTGCGCCGTCGCACAAAATCCGTTGGGCTAATGCAGGAACAGAATGGCGTACCAGAAGAATTCACCGTATCGGGTGCCGAATGGTTCCGGCGCAACAACTTCACAGCCCTTCCCATCCTCCTCGTGAACCCCCTCGCATTGTACGGTTATGGCGATATCAACATCGTCCCAGCAGTACGTCATCGTCCCTTCCACAACTTTTTTTGCAGGGGTCGGCATTAGCGCTAACACGTGATCAGCTCTACATTCTGCAGTATTTCACCCCGGATATTCTGACCGCCTTCATCGGATTGCACAGCGTCTACTACATGGACTTTCACAAGATGTTTGTTGAGTACGCGCGGAATCAGCTGTGCAATACGACCATCCACACGTCTTCCGAGGTGCGATGCGTGGATCGGTCAGGACCAAACCCTGTACTGACTTACACTGCACCTAGTGGTAGCTACGTCTCATGGAACAAACAAGAGTGCGCTTCCGTCATTTTCGCATTTCCTCCGAGCCTCGAGAACCTAGAGCGCATCGGATTAGACATGACGGAGCTGGAGTACAACACTTTCCACAACGTCACCACGCATCAGTACTACTCCTCGGCTGTGGATTTGGAGCTCCCCTTCGGCGTATCTTTCATCGCCAATAGCTCAGATCCATCAGAGCCACCGCCGAACGTCGGCCAACCTGTAGCCCTCCTGCACCTGAGCGAAGAGTCCAACGTGTCCATAGCTTGGTCCTGGGGCCCTTACGACTACCAAACCGAAGAGGCTGCGTTCGAGCTGCTCACCGACAGTTTAGCCAAAATCAATCTGGATCCGCGCAACGCCACCACGACGTTTCCGCAGCCTTTCTGCCCCGACGACGTCAAGGCATTCGAGAAGTGGGATTACTTCCCGCACTTTGAGAGCGACGCGCTTTCCGAGGGCGCCTACAACAAGCTCAATCTTCTCCAGGGACAGAAGAAGAGCTACTATGCCAGCGGTCTCAGCGGCATGGAGATTGTCGAGTGGGCCATTCGCGGCGGCTATGATGTCGTTGACACGTATTTCTGAGCCTGGAGCTCCATACCCATGGGCTCAAATCTCCTGTAGACACGTCTTGTATTCCCAGCAGGCGGGGCGTTTGATGGAACAGCATTGTGTACTATCAAAAGAGGGGGGAACGGCATGATTTTGCATTCCATGGGATGGGTTCGGTTTTGTTGCGGCGACTTTTTACGATGGGCACGGCTTCCTGTTTTCACGACTTAGAGATGATACCTTTACACGCCTTCGATGAGCGTCATGATCACGTCCCTTGTTTTCCACAGCTGGAAAGGGATCTTATGATTATGGCCATGGCCCCCCCGGTAGGGCAACTTTTAATGCTAATGCGAAATGTAGATAGATGATACGATATTCTGTAGTACTGTAGATAAATCATGAATTTGAGTTGTTTAATTCCACGGGTACTTTGTTCATTGCACTGCTTTTCTTGCCTTTCCAGCTTGTCTTGCACCTTGGCTTTTGGCTTGTGGAATATTTTATTATCTCCACTTGTTGACATGCACAAAACCCTCTCTCTAGACGAGAAAGAAAGGAGGACTAGACAGCGACATAAGAGCTAGGCGTCGCTAGTATCTGGGCAGCATACACAGTAACTTCAAAAGCAGCCGGATTCCCGAGCAGTAATTACGATGTGGACGGTGTTCACTTGGCATGTCATCTGCACTACCGTACCGTACTTGCCGAGCCGTGACGGGCATGGGGGCAATCGTGATCGTCAATACATAACCCAAATCCAACTGATGGCAAATCTGAACCCCTGATGAGACTTTTATTTTTGCGCGAAAACATACTGTGTGGTATTATATCGTACCTAGGTATCTCAGGCTTGCAAAACCCAAGTTCCACCAACGCTCACGACGGCGCAAACCAGCGCCATGCACATCACCCGTCCCTGCATCCCCAGTGCCCACCGGGCTCACTGCTGGTCTCTGTGGAGACGGACGTCGTCGATTGCTTAAAAAGTGGAAATTATGTACGTCCACACTAACGACGTCGCTCCCAGCGCTGATTGGTGGGTTCACTCGTTTAAGCTTTTTTCGCAGCTGCTGCAGGGAAATGGAAATGAGACTTAGACATCCTTGCACCCCACCCAGTAGCACCCCCTTCGCGAGGCTGTCGCGGCTCTTTGGCAAAGACTGGGGGAAGGAAGGGAAGTGTTGGTTGGATACTGTGTAGGAGTATTTTGGGAGCCTTGATTTGTTCGTGCAGGCAGTCTTTACCTACCTAGATATTCGAGCAAATCAGTGACGTTGACAGGTTCCTCATTCTAATTCCTGGCGCAATCAGCGAATAGGGCATTTCGCTTGCAGCGACTGTAATAATAATTTTGATTCGTTTCCGTTGCCGGGTACACACAGCATATTCGATTCGCAATTTTAAAATTTGGGACATTTTATCCCCCGCGCCGCCCCTTGCCCAGCGGCTAAGCGCCAACCTCAGAACCGGGGGGCAGGCACATCGTGAGGTTGACCTGTTTCATATACGGCACGCGTTCCTTCCCCCATCTCTTCCTTCCCCAAACCCTCACACTCCTTTTGACCCTGTGTCTTTGCTGTTCTGTTCCCCAGGAATCCCCACACTCATTTTTTTCAAAAAAGAAGAAATTATCCGTCCGGTTTTTTCTTCGCAAACGCGACCTTTACGCTCATTTTACCTATCTACCTACGCGATCACGGAACGAAAACAGTGAAGAAAGTTAAGAGGAAATGCAAGGAAAAACCATGTTCTTCAAAACCGTGGTAATGGCGCTGGCCGTGGGCGCAAGTGCTCAGACTACAGTCGCGTATGTCCAACCAAAAAGACTCCCATATGCACGCGTTCCTCTCGCGCATCCCATCCCATCATCAAAAACAGAACCCACTCCCGCGCCTACACGACCCAAAGAAAGAAAGAAAAAAAAAAAGGCTAACATTCCACCCCACAGCCCCGACGTCCAACAATCGGTCCTCCTAGCCCTCGCGCAAGCCATCCCCACAGAAAGCGTATCCTACGCCCTAGCCTCGACATCCGCCTTCGCCGCCGAAATGGCATCCTCGCTCTCCGCCGGCAACACGCCAGCATGGTACCAAGCGCTCCCATCCGACGTCAAGAGTCTGCTGCCCCAAATCTACCCGCACGTGGAAGCTACGCCTACGCCTTCGTCGGAAGCTGCTGCATCCAGCAGCGTCTATGCGGCTGCCAGCAGCAGCGCGAAGAGCACAGTCGTGATGCCGTATCCGACTGGGGCGGCGAACTCGACGGGTGCGTCTACTACGATGATGGGTGGGACGGGGTCGGTGGGCGCGCCCCCTAGTAGCACTGCTGCTGCGGATTCGTCGGCGGCGTCAGCTACTGCGACGGATGTGCCGCCTTTTACAGGTGCGGCGTCTAAGATTGTGGGCGCTGGGGCTGTGGCTGTGTTGGGCTTCCTTGGTGTACTGGTCTTGTAGACCCCCAACCAAACTTAACCTTTTTACTTATTCTTTTCAACGCAGCGTTATGCGAAAGGGAGGGCGGGGGGGATCAAAGGGCGAAGGGAGATCAAGCTTTTTTTTTTCAACTGCGCGGCGCTTGTTCGCCACGCGCTTTTTTTTCTTCTTTTACGACGCGATGTTGGTATTATTTCTTCATGGCGACGAATTCGCGTTATATACCTTTTTGACCTTTTTGGGGGGGAACATGATGCTGGATGGATGGGGGCTGTATGTAATGTTTTACAGGGACGTTTGGATCCCGGGCGGTTTGTTGTCGGGAAGATGGGATGGTCATGAAGGACGAGAGATGGTTGATCTAAAGCGGAGGGGATCGTAGTGTAGTGGTTTATAATCTTTAATTCACAATAATCGACGCAGAGAAAAAAAAACTACGACGTGACAAGGAGAGAGAGTTCATACTTTAAGTATGCTATGTAATTGCCATATCGAGAGGTCCGTGGCCACGCTGCACGGAGGGAAGACACGCGTCGTTTCTCGTGTTGAGCGCGGTCTAGACACCACTCAAAGATGACACGAGGAGTGAGTGCCCACTTACTGGGACCCACTTGCACTTGTCGAATGTCAGTGTCAGTCACAATCTTGCCAAATATAGAATTACGTTTACGCGGCTGCGGCCCTGTAAATAAGTGCTACCTAACTGGCAGACGTATGTACTGTACATTCAAGTTTCAACCATGTGTGTTCATATCAAACATACGTATACATTACGGACAGTATCCCAACGGCGAGCTTTGTAGACGCAGGAATGCAACAGAAGCCACCCGACTCGCCTATTGCTGACGCTCCTTGGTATAGCAAGTGACTAGATAGACCGGGAACATTCACCAGCGGTAAAATACCTATCACACACGTCTGCAATGCCAGGATATCGCGAATCGTATCCGTGTGAAACTGTCTGGTTAGCAGTTATCATCCTTGACCTTCGTCAAGTGTAAAGAACCCCTGCGGCAAGCAAAAAGAATAAAGAGACACCGAGCATGTCGAGCATATCTCTTGATTGGGACGTCGGAATCGCAAAAAGAAAATGGTCACTACGAGGGTCGAACTCGCGACCTTGGCGTGTCATACAAGGTATTAGCACCACGCTCTAACCAACTGAGCTAAGCGACCGGTGGTTGTATCGATGTCACTTCGATGAGAACCTGGGGAAGTCCAAATAATATCATCGAGTTACATTGCCGGCGACGACAAGAACAGTTTGTGTTGAGGTAGCGAGAGTCATCTGCCAGGGCGGCGTATGGTGGGGTCGGAAAATTCTGTTCCCAGTGACCGGCTGATGATGAAGTGGGGGTGGCGGGCGACCCAGGAATAAGTACGTACCCGAACGGACCCACTCAGCCTCACCAAACCCAGCGTGCCAGTTCATACTGTGTAACGTGTACCTATGCGTGTTATCATTGATCGTGCTGATGTTTGGAGTGAGGAATTGTGCTCTGACGAGGATATAAAAGTCTTTCTATGAAAGGTTCGATTGTTGAGCAGCGGGTATCTCGAAAATGCAGACCAAGACCAACGCCGATGCTGTGCGGTAAGAGAAGCCCCAACACCAAGCCTGAGTATGTGTAAGCATGGTAATTGGCAGGTGCTCGTTGTCGAGTGGGAAGTTTGATCAAGCCTTGGAGATCAACTGAGGGGTAAGGTGAGATGAATGTGCCCATAACGCGTACTCTTGTACGGTTTTCGTGTCATGGTCCAAACATTCTTCCACGTTTTTTCAGCACTTCCAATCCAGATTCTTGAACGCAGCCATTAGCCACCAAGCTGTCCCAGGTACTTCTCCACCTCGTCATTCCCATAAAACATCTTCTGCAACTCGTCATGCCTCTTCTTTTCGACCTTGGCCAGTTTCCTGATCTTGCCGGCATCCAACCTCCCTTCCCTAACATCGGCTCGGCTTGCGCCACCTAGCGATTTCCTCTTTGTATGCTCTTTATCATCGGTGCCTAGACCCAGCTTATCCCGCTTCTCCTTCGGCACAAGCGGGAAGAGCATACCCTGGCCAGCAGCACCAAGACCTACTCGGGAATCGACGTCAAACCCATGCTTCTCCAAATACTTCAGACCCATTCGCGTTCGGTCGATAGCGGAAGGCATTGGTGGGCGGGGAAGAGCTGCTTGGTGTCCGAAAGACAGGTGGTGCGTAATCGGGTCGGGCTCTCTGAGTTGCTCACCGCAGACGTCGCATCGAGGGTATTCGTCGGGTTTTGGAGGCGGCCTGCCGTTCGGGAACACGATTGCGAGATACTTCTCAGCCATGGTCTTGCCGTTTGCCGATGTGGTTGGCGGTCGGACCTCGGGAGCGGGGGAGACGAAATTGACGGGGTTTTTCCAGAGACCGCGACCGAATGCGCGCAGCTCGACAAAGGGTGCCGTAGAGGTATTGGGATCATCATCCGCGTCCTCGTCTTCGTGTACATGTCCACTGGGAGTTGAATTCGTAGTAGGCGCGGCCATGGTTGCGTTCTTCCCTAAGACGTATAAAATGTCAGGTATGGGTAAAGATCTTATGGCGGCGAGGAGAGCGACGCCGCCAGAGAACAGTGTCGAGGGTGAAGTGAAAGCGAGCCGCAGTGGTGAAGCGCAAGCGGCAATCTTCAACGCGCCATCACGTGCTATGACGCCACGTGTGTGTGGATCCGCTTAGCGAGCCAGGAGCCACCATTGTTCCGCGTTGCTTGACCCTTTCCGTCCCACCATCCGTAAAAGATGCCCGTCAACATCATCGCCCACGCCTTTGCCGAGGGCATCGACTCCATCCCGTTCGCCTGGACTGCAGTGAAGGTTGCGCCTGTTTTTGCATTACTGTACCTGCTGAAATGGTATTTCAATGGCGCAACCAACGGGTCGGAGCGGAACATGCACGCCAAGGTGGTCATGGTCACGGTAAGAGAAAGTTGGGAGGAGACGCGCGGTATATTTTCTAACGCTTGGCAAGGGCGGAACGGCTGGCATTGGTGCTGAAGTGGTGAAAGGACTGGCATCACGAGGTGCACAGATTGTTCTCCTGGTTCGACAACCACTTTCGGACCCCTTCCTTGTAGACTACATCGAAGACGTACGCACCCAAACGGGTAATGAACTTATTACGGCCGAGAACGTCGACTTGGAATCTTTGCACAGCATACGCCAGTTCGCAACGAAATGGGTCGACAATGCACCACCGCGGCGTCTTGACGCGATCATCCTCTGCGCGAATACCATGACACCACCTGGAGGAAAGCCAACCCAAACAGAGGACGGCCTAGAAGCAACCTGGGGGTTGAACTACATCGCCAACTTCCACCTCCTGAGCATACTCAGTCCTGCGCTACGAGCTCAACCTCCTGATCGAGACGTCCGAATCATTTTTGGCACCTGTCCTGCCTACGTGGGAGGGAAAATGCCCGGTACCGATACGAATTCGAAGAGCGAACCTGGCCAGCTCGACTTTACGCCATCGGCCGTATACGCGACCTCGAAACTTGCCCTCATGACATTCGCTGTCGCCTTCCAGAAACACCTCACCAACTACGTCCGCCCTGACAAGAAACCGATGAATGCGCGCGTAATCATGGTAGATCCAGGCTGGACACGAACACCGGGTATGCGACGCTACCTCACCTTCGGCTCACTCTGGGGCCTAGCCCTGTATCTCATCACTTGGCCACTGTGGTGGCTTGTCCTGAAAAGCGGCGACCAAGGGGCCCAGACCTTTTTATATGCCGCCATGGAGGCACAATGGGGCAGGGGAGAAGGAGCATACTTCCTCAAGGAGTGTAGAAGGTCCATCTGGACGAGGAAGGAGATTGATGACGAAGTGCTGCAGAAGAAGCTGTGGGAGAGCAGTGAAAGAACGGTTGAGTTGCTCGAGAAAGAGAGTGCCAAAAGAAGGGCCGCTGAGAAGAAGCAAAAAGAAAAGTCGGAGGGAAAGAGCAACGCGGGTAAGGCTAATGGAGATGCCAAGCAGCGAAAATAGAATATCGAGGCACGCGATCGAATCAGCTTGAGACGCCACTGGACTCAAGCAATACAACATACGCAAGATACTGTGATTATGTGATGCAGCTGTGCTTGCTAAAGAACAAGGTGTCTCCGAGCGTGTTTTTATACGGTCCGTCACGCCGCGAAACATCGGAAGAAGTATCCCTGAAGTATGTTCCAAACCCACCTACCAGGGCTGATTCTTCTGAAAATATTCACTGATCTAGGTCTAAACCTTCTCTCCTTCTCATACGCATGTGTAAGCAAGGAATGGCACTCGCTCTTCCTCGACACGAGCATAACATCAGAGCTCAAGTTTCTCCCGCTTCTAAATGGCAAAGGCTTACCTTCGCCAGCCTGCGAATATGCATACTATCACGCAACACTACACTTCAGTAAGGCGTAAGCTATGATACTTTTTTCTTTCTTTCTTTCTTTCTTTCTTTCTTTCTTTCTTTCTTTCTTTCTTTCTTTCTTTCTTTCTTTCTTTCTTTCTTTCTTTCTTTCTTTCTTT